AGGGATGTAGAAACAGACAAGACAATAATTAAGAGTTTGGAAAAAGAAATCAAATGGACCAGTAACTAGCTGGAAGCAACAGAATCAAGCTAAGGCACCTGCACTCCACTCTCAAACCAAAGCTGCATGTGTGTAGAACAAGAACTAAATTTATGGAAAGCACCAAGTAGGTAACCCAGCACAGTTCTAGTCAAATAAATTTGTCAAGCAAGGAAATGAGAGGCAGAAAACCTTAGGAGAGAAGTTCCCACAAGGATGAGACAGATCTCGAAGAAAGGTTAATATTCTAGAAGGATGTCTTCTTAATATCATTGAGGACAGCTTAATCCCACAGGCCAGCTGTGCTTTATGTGGTGTGGAAAACATTATCACATACAGTGTTATACATTTTAATTTTAATTAGATCTATCAGTATCAGCCTTCCTTCCTCCACAGCAACAACTGGCTACAAATCCAAACTGCAGTTCTGCCCTTTATTCATTCAGGGTTTTCATGTACTTTCCCGTTCGCCATCTCCCTTCTCTCCTAGGGTTCACCCATCTAGCTACCGGCCTTTGAATTTGCAGCTCTTGCCACAGACACAATTGCTGTTTCAAACTCTTGTCAGATTTGAGGTTATTAAATAATGAAATATAGAGAGTCAACCCTTAGGCTAATAGTTATATTCTCACCTAATTTAGAAAATTTTATTAACTACAGAGTTTTGGGCCTATTTCAAATTACATTTAATTCTGTGTTTTATTAAGATCTCAACTAGCTGAAATCAGCTTATATTTTTTCCCAATTAGAAGTCAGATTCATTTCCAAGATAGATCTTTTTCAATCTCCTTACCAGCTTCCTCCACTCTTCCCCTAAAGATGAGCACCAAGTGCAACCTTAAGATCAGACTTTTATAAATGAATACACAGGTGAGTTTCTTATCTGCCATAAACATCCTCTATTAACATAAAATTCTACCACCAACCTCCCCTGCCCCGATCCTTTTATGTCTCTACCCAGTGGATAAAATCAGGGAGACTGTGCTAAACAAACACCCAGGCTGTTTCAGTTGCCACTAGTTTTTTTTCTGTATAACTTCAGAGGTTGTAAATAAACTACTGGAAATAATCTACCTAATTGCAGTCTAAAAATGGGGAGTGGGTTTTTTTTTTTTAAATTTGTGTGAAAATTACAATTATCAATTACTACCTAAAGAAAGCTGCAATGGAGGAAAAAACTGGAGACCACTACTACTTCTTCAACACAAGTCTGAGTTTGAAATTAAGGCACAAATTAATAGAAAGAGAAAACTGAGAAGCATCCTATTAGATTTCATCAAAGGATGCTTCAAGAAATAACCTTATGAAATCTGTTATTGCATTTGGTATGAGGATTTTCTTGGACAGTGCCCAATGGGAGATCTCTCAAGTATTTCCTATATTAAACTTCAGGCAGGAAATTTTTTGAGATATGTGCTGAAAAAGGAAAACTTTGCTAGCTTAAGGACTTTTACATATATTTTCTTCACAGACAATGAAAGCCACGGAAATGACTATGACTTTATTGATTAGGTAACTCAGAGACTAATTCTAACTCGATAATGACTATTGTTCCAGCCCACATGGCCCACATCAGTGACTCGACTTCCTGGATTTGACTTCCTAGTCAAATCTGTTTTATTCTGGCCTTGACATTTTTATTTTGCTATTTTATATTTGCTCATAAGCTTTATGGGATGAGGAAAGGTATTCAGAGAGCTAATTCATAGAAGAAAATGTTATAGTTTTTAAAAACTGGTACTAATGAAGCTAAGTAAACAAAGCAAAATAAAAACAATGTTCAGACCAAGCAATATAATAATGAAATAAAAAAATTATAAATTCAGAAATGAATGAAAATGTAAGTGAAGTAATATTTCATAATTTTTTTCCTGTAAAGACACTTAATTTACAACACCCAAAGTTTTCTTAGACAAATTAATATAAGGTATATTTTTAATAAAATAATCAATAACAATAATACCATGTAAAAATGAATCAATGAACAAAGCGCTACTCTACTATATCCATTATCTAATTTAATCATAAAAGATTTCAAATCAAAACTTCTACCTTTTGTGTCTCGGGATCTATTAACCAGTTCCAGGCACCAGTAGCTGTACAGACAGATACCACTATAAGAAGCACTGATGAAAGATAAACAGTAAATTAGCAAGGAAATAAGCTCTTAATATTTGATACCATTACTGCCAGTTCCTCATAAATACCAGCTAAAGAATGCAGCACTTTATTAAATGAAAAATGCACTTGGCTCAAGTTAGATTTGCCACATGACTTTGAGGAATTCTCTTAAATACTGTAACCCTTAGTAATTGAGAATAATACTATCTCCCCCACCCCTTATTACTCTAGTTAAGAATTTATGGAGAAGGACCTCTCCGGTGGCGCAGTGGTTGAGCGCTGGGTTGCGAAGCTGCCCGCAGCCTCTGCAGCGCCGGTTTGGTCCCCGGCTGCTCCCCGGCCACCGGAGGAGGGTCCCACATGGCCGCTGCTCCCCTCAGCAGTGTACTTCGGTCCTTCTGCCTGCTCTGCTCCCCGCTCTGGCTCTGGTGAATTCTCCCACCCTCCTGTCCTTCTGACTGTACCCAGTGCTTGTATAAATAAATAAATAAATCTTAAAAAAAAAAAAAAAAAAAAAAAGAATTTATGGAGAGTAATGAATCAAGGTTAAGACTTTAATAAGATTCTATGTTATGTAATTTTCAATATACTTTGTGCTGATTTTGCAAATCTTATAAATTAAAAAAAATGCTTTTATCTCTAAAGAAAATAAAACAAATACTTCTTTATGAACGCAGAGAGAATTCTGACTAGAGGATTTTGTCTTGCAGACAACTGCCTGCTATTGAATTAAACAAAGATCAATGTTAGGAAGTATGGAGTGCAATGGTAAGTGTTACATTTTCTTTAAGGGACTTAAAGGAAGGTTAAAGTAAAAATTAATGATGGTAGAACTTAGAAAACGTTTCTTTCTACCCACTAAGCTATAATTACTTTAGAAATTGTAAACAGCTCTCACTAAAACTTAAAAAAATGATACTACTGAAAATAAATTTAGAAATGGGAACCAATACTTTAATATTCTGGGTATCAGGACAGCTACTTGTCTTTCAATTGGGATGTGGACATTCTTTTTTGTTTGTTTTAGTTTAGAACTAGGGTGTAGGCCAGAGTGGGGGTGTGTGTGTGTGTGGGGTGGTGGTGGTGGTGTTGAGAGGTTTCACCAGAGACAGAGTAGGGAGCAGGACAGGGGGATTTACAAAAATACGCTGTTAAGGGGAGTAGTGGGCAAGATAGGCGAGGTCTACAGTGCCATATATGGGGTTAGCTCCCTGGCGGGGATCGAACTTAGACCTTAGCAGTGAGAGTGCCAAGACTTAACCCCTAGACCACCAGGGATACCTGGGATGTGGACATTCTCTAAATGTAGCCTGTTTTGTTTTCTTAAAATTTGCCTACAAACTATTAAAATCAAGTTTTACTAAGAAAATGATTTTTTAAATTTATTTTTTATAGAGGCATGTTTTTTATTTATTTGTTTGTTTTGTTTATACATGCACTGGGTACAGTCAGAAGCGCGGGGGCCTCCCCGGTGGCGCAGCAGTTGAGCGCTGGGTTGCCAAGCTGCCCGCAGCCTCTGCAGCGCCGGTTCGATCCCCGGCTGCTCCCCGGCCACCAGAGGAGGGTCCCACAAGGCGCGCAGACCTCTCCTGCCGCCCGCTGCTCCCCTCAGCAGTGTACTTCGGTCCTTCTGCCTGCTCTGCTCTCCCCTCTGGCTCTGGTGAATTCTCTCACCCTCCCGCGCTTCTGACTGTACCCGGAGCTTGTTTAAATAAATAAATAAATCTTTAAAAAAAAAAAAAAAAAAAAGCGCAGGAGGGTGAGAGAATTCACCAGAGGCAGAGCGGGGAGCAGAGCAGGCAGAAGGACCGAAGTACACTGCTGAGGGGAGCAGCGGGCGGCAGGAGAGGTCTGCGCGCCATGTGGGACCCTCCTCCGGTGGCCAGGGAGCAGCCGGGGATCGAACCAGCGCCACGGAGGCCGCAACCCAGCGCTCAACCGCTGCGCCATCAGGGAGGCCCAGAAAAATGATTTTTAATGTATACTTGCGAAGGTTATGAAATTACTCTTAGTGGAACACAGTAGAAGTTCAATTATTTAGAATTCCTGGTGATGTACTTTTAGAAGAGGCAGATCACAAAAAATCTCATTTTAGGTATTTGATTATAGGAAAAAAATTTTAAAATTATGTTCTGAGCTCAAAGACGAACTGACTCCATTTCTTCTAATTTTATATTTCTAATACAAAATATACTAGTATTAAAAAAAGTATTATGCAGCCTCCCTGGTGGCCCAAGGGGTTAAGACGCAACCTATGAAATATCTGCAGCCTCTGTAGCATGAGTTCGATCCCCAGCCAGCCAGGGAGCTACCCACATGGCGCAGCAGACCTCTCCTGTCTCACCCACTATTCCCCTTTGCAGTGTATTTCAGTAGATCTGCCTGTTCTGCTCCCCACTCTGTCTCTGGTGAATCCTCTCACCCCTCACACCTCTGGCCTGTACCCCAGCTTTTGCATGCATAAATAAATAAATCTTTATAAATAAATAAATAAAGTATTATGGTATAGTTTTTAAAAAAGATTTATTTATTTATGCATACAAAAGCTGGTGTGTAGGCTAGAGATGCGGGGGCAGAGGTGGGGGGAAGAAGCTTCACCAGAGACAGAGCGGGGAACAGAACAGGTAGAGCTACTGAAATACACTGCTGAGGGGAGCAGCGAGTAAGGCAGGAGAGGTCTGCCGGGCCATGTGGGTAGCTCCCTGGCTGGGGCTCGAACTCGTGCTGCAGTGGCTGCTGATAGCTTCATAGCGCTGACTTAACCCCTTGTGACACCAGGGTGGTCCCCTAGGTTTTGTTTTTTTTTTTTAAATAAAGCAAAAGCAAACCCAAGAGAGAGGCTCTTACATACGCACATTGATGGCTACATTAACCATGCTAATTTATATGTAAGTGCTGAGACCATGAGTGGAGAAAAAATCTGTAACATTACATTCTGTACAAAAGCACTGCATCATACACATCATAAAAGACTCTCAGTTAACAGAAAAACAAGGTTTGTAGGGTAATTCTTAGGTTAGCAAGGGACCCTGAGAAAATCATTACTTGTGAATTATGACCAATTAGAATTCTCACCGCATATAATTAAAACGCTACAAAACAACAACAACAACACAAAAAACTGCAAAAAGATTTAATAAAAAATAAACAAAACAGGGCCTCCCCAGTGGCACAGCGATTGAGCGCTGGGTTGCAAAGCTGCCCGCAGCCTCTGCAGCGCCAGTTCAATCCCTGGCTGCTCCCAGGCCACCGGAGGAGGGTCCCACATGGTGCGCAGATCTCTTCTGCCGCCCGCTGCTCCCCTCAGCAGTGTACTTCGGTCCTTCTGCCTGCTCTGCTCCCCGCTCTGGCTCTGGTGAATTCTCTCACCCTCCCGTGCTTCTGACTGTACCCAGTGCTTGTATAAAATAAATAAATAAATAAATCTTTAAAAAAAAAAAAAATAGAAAAAAAAAATCAACAAAACAATCCTGACACAGAAAATATCTGCAACTTCCATAGTTCTCTTCTGGGCCCACAAACTGAGTTATACTCTAAAGAGAGCATGTCCCATCTGTGTGTTATTATATTCCTTCTGGGCAGAAATTGAATTTTAACAATGAACATCCAAAAATTAAGATTGGTCACAAAATAAATTAGGAAAACATTTTGTTTGCTGATGTCTTCCCTTGTATATTTTTCTGTACTTCATTTATGTGTGATTTTTTTTTTAAGATTTATTTATTCATGTGTACAAGAGCTGGGGTACAGGCCAGAGATGCTGGGGGTGAGAGGATTTACCGGAGACAGAATGGGAACAGAACAGGCAGAGTGACCAAAGTATACTGCTAAGTGGAGCAGTGGGTGAGACAGGAGAGGTCTGCTTGACCACGTGGATTGCTCCCCGGCCAGCCAGGGATCGAACTCATGCTGCATAGGCTGTGGACGGGCTGTCTTAACCCCTTGCGCTACCAGCGAGGTCCATATGTATGATTTATATATATATATACAATACACATGTCTACACACATCATATACAAATACATAGACACACATACATCCATGGAGGGAGCAATCATAGTTTCTTCAAATCATGAATATGGATTTCTTACAGTAAGAATATAATTTTTTTTTCTGGCTCACGCTCCAAAGAAGCACAATTATGTCCTGTTAAAATCAACTAAGAGGGCCTCCCTGGTGGTACAGGGGTTAAAGTCTCAGCACTATCATGCTATCAACAGTCACTGCATCATGAGTTTGATCCCCAGGCAGAGAGCTACCCACATGATGCAGCAGACTTCTTCTGTCTTGCCCGCTGCTCCCCTCAGCAGTGTATCTCAGTAGATCTGCCTGTTCTGCTCCCCACTCTCTCTCTGGTGAATCCTCTCAACTCCCACACCTCTGGCCTACACCCCAGTTCTTGTATGCATAAATAAATCTTTAAAAAAATTAATAAAAAAATAAAATCCACTAAGTAATTTCATAAACTTTGCAAGTATACATTAAAAATCATTTTTCTTAGTGAAACTTTATTTTAATAGTTTGTAGGCAAATTGTAAGAACACTAAACAGGTTATTGAAATTTTTATTATGTATACTTTTCCCCAAAGTTATAATATTTAACAAAAAATAAGCTTAAACAAAAACCCCTAAAACGAATCATACTACATTTCTTTTTTAAAATTTTCTTATATAACATTGTTTACAATGTTAAATAATTAACAAGGCTTTCAAAAGTAAAAGAAGTCTTATAGTTTAGGTAAAGCAAGCATTTGTTAACCAAAACTTACACATAATAGCATACCACTGCAATGCAGAGATAAAAGCATCAATAGTTTTGCTTTCTCTTAAAGAATATTTCAGGAACTTACTTCTCCAACGGCCAGTAGCAGGTTGCAAACAATGAATATATTCAGTAAGTCTCCTCTCGAAAGCCTTGAGATCTAGGTACAAAGATTTCAAGTTTCTAATTAGTCTTTCTTACTAGTTCAAGTCTACTAACAATAGATGAAACTTTCCATACTGACTTACTGCTCTTACATAACAACTTACAAGTATCCCTACACTGTTTAGTTTACAAAGACAGCTTCAACACTTGATAGAAATATTGGGTTTCTTTAATCCTGATTTCACGTATCAGGAGACTATCTGGTACATTTTTAGAAGTTTCATTAAAAGGAACGTTGAACGGGTGATGGTGGGACTTCTGTGGGGACTACATCAGAGAAGAGAAAGGAAACACTGTACAAAATGAAAAACCATGTAAAATATAAACAAATTATATATATATTTTTAAAAAGGTTTTTTAAAAAAGGTAGGCAGAAAATCGTCAGTAGCCTCAGTCCGCGCCAAAAGCTTGAATTTTGGAGGCTGCAGATACAACGATCACAATCAGTTCGATTTTCTCTTCCTACTGGAACCAGTGATTCCCCATTCACGGTGTATTTGGTGAACCTCCCAGTCTGCGAGGTCTGTCTGAATGCAGTTGCCCAATTCCGATTTCTGCTCCTGACATTTAATCACTCCCTAAGCTTTCGGTCCGGCCTGACCCCCGGGGCGCAGCCACGCCCTCACCCCCCCTCTCGACACAGGTGAGTCCGTGTCACAGGTGAGTCCGGGTCACAGGTGAGTCCGTGGCCCCGGGCACGTCCTGCACGAGCAAGGTGGGGGTATCATTTCCACAATCGCGTTTTTCAAACTTCCAAAGGGAGATCGAGAGGTTCTCCCTGACCCCGCAGTCACCAAAACCCACGGAAGAAACTGGGGCTGCAGCCCGAGGGCTTAGCAGAATAAAGTAAAGATAAAGCCAACCGGCACAGCCCAACGCACGACGTGAACACCGTCCCCTAATGAATAAAAACATGCAGGGAGCCTCAGTCTCGGCCGGGGGCGCCCCGCCCGGGCCGCGCGCGCCGGAACCAGCGCCCAGCCGGGTCCCGCTGCCCTTTGGCCCCGGGACCGGCCCCCGCGCCCCGCAGGCTCCGGGCCGGTCAGTCCACGCTCCGCGGCCTCCGCGCCCCGGGGCGGGGTCCCCGCGATTCCGGTCCCTCCGGCTTCCGGGAGGAGCCCGGGACGCGCCGGGGCGCCCCGGAGGCCCGCCCTACCTTCCGCCTGCTCCAGCGAGTTCATGTCGGGCGGCAGCTCCGGTCACCGCCGCGGGCCCGTCCGCATCGCAGCCCCGCGGCCCCCGCCCGGCCCGCAGCGACAACTCCCACCTCCAACCGCTCCCCTCGGCCCCTCCTTGTCGCACCGCCCCTGGCCTAGACTCACTACGCTCATTGGGCAGCTGCGGGTCACTCCATCACTAAGACGCTTTTCTATTGGCTAATCTTTGCACTGGCCCCCGGGGCCTCGCGTTGGACGGTCCGCCGAAGGGACCAAGACCCGCCGGCGGCTGGACTGGTGTGGCGCTGGCGCCGCCTCCTGCCCCGGGGAGGAACTGCAGCCTGTCCGAAGCAGTTCGTTCATCCTGTGCCTGGTTTCCAGTTTGTTTTTCATTTCTCAAATATTTGTTGAGCGCCGGCTACCTTCTGGGCAATGTACAGATAATTAACGAAGGATAAGAAATCAACGATTTGGCCCTGCCTCTCAAGCTCAAAGGGAAATAAGGTAGGTGCAGATTAACTAGAACTCAAAACAATGAATTTAAGAGTTATCCCTTTCCTAGATACCCAGTCCCTCAAAGTAAGCATTTTCTTCCTTCATTATTTTTATTCTCATGATACCCAATTTCTTAAGTCCTAAAGAAGGCGAGCAAAGAATAAGCCCCAGTACCTTGAACGTTTATATTTATAAATATCTGTGAGGCATTGACTACATCTGTGATTAAAATGGATTGTTGTTCATTTCCTGTGGTCCTTCATTCATTCAAGAGCTATACATTGCATGATGTGCTATTTCACTTAGGGGCCTCCCTGGTGGCGCAAGGGGTTAAGCACCGCACTGTGAAGCAAGCCGCAGGCTTTGCAGCATGAGTTCGGTCCCCGGCCCAGGGAGCTACCCACATGGCGCTGCAGACCTCTCCTGTCTCGCCCACTGCTCCCCTCAGCAGTGTATTTCGGTTAGTCTGCCTGTTCTGTTCCCCACTCTGTCTCTGGTGGGTCCTTTCACACACACACACACACACCCCCCGCATCTCTGGCCTGTACCCCAGCTCTTGTACATATAAATAAATAAATCTTAAAAAAAAAAAAGATATCATCACTTAAAGTGCAGGGTTACAGCAGGTGATAAACATCACTAACAGATAAACACTGATGGGTTAGTAAGATGCTGTAAGACAAACGAAAGGTTACAGGAGCTAGTGATAAGAAAAGGGGTGCTGAGACAGGGGAGGAGGCATTTGAATTGAGACCCTGGGATGGGTGAATGAGAAGAAACTAGCTACTTAATGATGAAAACTAAAAAAGTTTCAAGCAGCATTGGAAAATTTTTGCTATTGGTATTTTGTGTATCTTATTCATCCATCAGTTTTCCTCCTTCTCACTTATCAGTTGAATTAATTGACACCCTGACCCACATTATTTAACCTTCTTCTTTCCTTTACCTTAGCACTTTTCAGAGTTTCCAGGAAACCTAGTTTTCTAGGAAGGCTTCCTCTAGATCAAACCCCTTATATGTTATCTCATTTACCTCATATTTTTTAAACTGAGAGTTTCTGAAATCCAATTAATGAGTCATGACATTTTTTATGAACTAAAATAAAAATTAAAATCTCAGTATCACTGGAAATAAGAGTAAGTATTGTTTCTTATCTTTTATTTTAGCTGTGTGTGTGTGCGCCTTGCTTTCCCATCACCATGTAAAGGATATACCTTACCGAAGGTTCCAGCAGAAAGAGTTTGAAAGCCACTAAGGTAGGCACTCATAGACACATTTAACAACTGAGAAAAGTCAAAACGAATTTGCCCAGTTCTTGTAATTATTGTCATAGCCTCGGTTGAATCCCTCAGTCAAACTATTTCTCCATATCCAAGTCTTACTCATCTCATTTCCCTTTGGAACCAGCAGTGCTTAGAGAATGGTGACTGAACAACTGCTGCACAACTGGCTCTCCTGGGCTAGAACCTGGGAGGTGAAGAGTGCATTGATGAATAGGACTTTGCAAAGTGTTATGCTAGTGTGAGCTTGGCTAACTTGCCTTCAAAGGAGACAGTTCTGTTAACCACAGGACTTTTGTTTGCCTGATGGGGTGTGCAAATTTCCAGCAAGAACTTGGGACAACAGAGAGAAGACTAAAGACTACCTCCTGGGGTTTTCCTTCTTCACCTTTCATTTTCAACTCTGCCCAAATAAATGTTGAAGCTGCCTTTGAAAGGATGCACGTGATTAGCTTGTCATTGACCTTTTTATGTGTGGATCATGGGGACCAGAAAGGAGGAGAAGAAAATAGAGCCTCAAAGGCAGTCTGAGCTAATGGGGAGACCTAAGGGAACAGGTTTATAGAAACAACATATCAATGGGATTTGGCAAAGGTATTTAACAATCTAAATACTCAGTAAGTATTTAAGAAATACATGTCCCAGCCAACAGAATATGAGCTGACACTGCACAAAATCACAACTTGCCCTCTGAAAGGGTAGATTTTAGTGTAAAAATAAAAGATGAAACAGCGCAGACTCATCCCCACATGATTACCACATGATTACCAACTTTGAAACAGTATATCTAATAAAAGAACTAAAGTTTAGGGCCTCCCTGGTGGCGCAAGGGTTAAGACACAACCTATGAAGCTATCCACATCCACTGCAGCATGAGTTTGATTCCCATACAGGAAGCTACCCACATGGTGCAGCAGACCTCTCTTGACTCGCCCACTGCTCCCTTCAGCAGTGTACTTTGGTCAATCTGCCTGTTCTGTTCACCACTCTGTCTCTGGTGAATCCTCTTACCCCACATGTCCCTGGCCTGTGCTCCAGCTCTTGTATGCATAAATAAATAAATCTTTAAAAAAAAAAAAAAGAACTAAAGTTTATATTTTACTAAGAGGCCTGGCTTCCACCTTTTATAGTTAAAGGGCAGAATATCTCCTTTAAACCACATAGCAACTCTTCGAGCCAAAGGATGTCACTAAATACATTTCAGAGATGAGTTTTTAAGATTTATTTATTTATTTATAAAAGCACTGGGTATACAGTCAGAAGCGCAGGAGGGCAAGAGAATTCACCAGAGTCAGACCGGAGAGCAGAGCAGGCAGACTGATGAAGTACACTGCTGAGGGGAGCAGTGGGTGGCAGGAGAGGTCTGCGTGCCATGTGGGACCCTCACCCAGTGGCCGGGGATCGAACCAGCGCTGCTGAGGCTGCGGGCAGCTTTGCAACCCAGCGCTCAACCGCTGCACCACCGGGGAGGCCCTCAGAGATAAGTTTTTTTTTTTTTTTTTTTTTATAGAGGCATGCTTTATTTGTTTTTTTTTGCTGGTTTGTTTGTTTGTTTGTTTTTTGTTTATACATGCACTGGGTACAGTCAGAAGCGCGGGAGGGTGAGAGAATTCACCAGAGCCAGAGAGGGGAGCAGAGCAGGCAGAAGGACAGAAGTACACTGCTGAGGGGAGCAGCGGGCGGCAGGAGAGGTCTGCGCACCATGTGGGACCCTCCTCTGGTGGCCGGGGAGCAGCCGGGGATCGAACCGGCGCCGCAGAGGCCGCGCGCAGCTTCGCAACCCAGCGCTCAACCGCTGCGCCACCGGGGAGGCCCCCTCAGAGATAAGTTTTTAGATGAGTTGATGAGTTGATGAGTCCTAATCCCTTTGCTGGTGTCCTCTTTGATTCTTCTCTCTGTCTTTCTCTATATTTTTGTCTGTGAGTCTGTCTTTCTATTTTTTCCCACATGGCACATCAGATCAGGTAGCAATTCCTGTTGGCTCTACTCTCAAAATATATTGAAAATTTAATCACTCTTCACCACTTCCAGCATCACCACTCTGGTTCAGGCCATCACACAGCCAGAGTCACTGCAAAGGCTTCTGATTACCAACTTTGAAGCGGTATATCTAATAAAAGAACTAAAGTTTAGGGCCTGCTTCCACCCTTGTTTCAAAAAGTGGTTTGTAAAACCCTTAAAGAACATGTGTTTTGTTTTTTTTTTAAGATTTATTTTTATTTATTTTTGCATAGAAGAACTGGGGTATAGGCCAGAAGTGCAGCGGGTGGAGAGGATTCACCAGAGAGAGTGAATGGGGAGTAGAACAGGCAGATCTACTGAAATACACTGCTAAGGAGAGTGGTGGGCAAGACAGGAGAGGCCTGGTGGGCCCTGTGAGTCACCGCCCCAGCCTGGGATCCAACTCATGCTGCAGTGGCTGTAGATAGCTTCATAGTGCTGAGACTTAACCCCTTGTGCCACCAGGGAGGCCCAAACCCTGAAAGAACATCTTGTTCTGCTGCTTAGAACCTTCCTTGGCTCCTCAGAGTGGCTACAACAGTAATCTTGATGCCATTTCTCTGGCATTTAGAAGGTACCTTCTAAAATAATTTTTGACAAGCTATATGCCCCTTCACGTGTTTGTGAAGTGACATCTGAAATTTTCATCATAGGTTTGAATACTTGCAAAGGATGTAATTTCTGGTATATTGTAGATATTGACATCTGGAAGTAAAATTGCTGTATTACTCTTTTAAATGTTTTCAGTGGAATCTACCACATCAATTCAATACCTACAATCATCCTTTTAAAAATATGTATCTATGTCTGAGAACATGGACACAAAAATCCTCAAAAAGTTTCAGCAAGCTGAATCCAGCAACAATAAAAAGGATTAGATATCCTTTAATATCCCAAGAAACCCACACAGTGTCTCCTTCACATGTCTGTTTGTTCCATGTGCCTCCTCCAGGTCTTCTTCCCAGCCCTCCTCCCAGTCTTCTAGCTTCTCCAGGAGGCTCAGCTCCACCCTTCCCTGGGTGAGACAGGGAACCTGGAACCTCCCCTTTGTGTGGAGGTCACTTTGTTCCAGATGGTGATGGTGGGACCACAAAGTGAATGAATTAGTGCCTCTGAACTGCTCACTTTAAAATGGTTAAGATGGAGGGGCCTCCCTGGTGGCGCAAGGGGTTAAGCGCAGCAATGTGAAGCTATCCAGCAGCAGAAGCCTCTGCAGCAGAAGTTCGATCCCCAGCCAGGAAGCTACCCACATGGCGCGGCAGACCTCTCCTGTCTCACCCGCTGCTCCCCTCAGCAGTGTATTTCAGTCAGTCTGCCTGTTTTGCT